CCAGCAACCACAGAGCGAGGAGAAAGGTTCCGGCCTCCGTCCAGCAACCACAGAGCGAGGAGAAAGGTTCCGGCCTCCGTCCAGCAACCACAGAGTGAGGAGAAAAGTTCCGGCTTCCGGCCAGCAACCGCAGCGCGAGGAGAGAGTTTCCGGCTTCCGGCCAGCAACCGCGGCGCGAGGAGAAAGGTTCCGGCCCCTGCCCGGCGCGCGGGGCGCATCTCGGCGGCTTCCGGGCCCGGCGCCTCGCGCCTCTCTTCTCCCTGCATCCCCCTGCGTACTTGGCAGCGCCGAATGGCCCCGGATCCCCAAGTCCTCGTGTGCTGGTTTAGGGAGTTTGGGTCCCGGACTGTAGGATCGGAAAGCCCGGAAGGATTTGTTCCTTGCCTGTAGTTTGTGCATCGATGGAGCCCCGGCCCAGCCGATCTCAGGGGACTTAGAGGAGAATCAGGCTTTTCCTGGGACAGTTTGCATGGAGTCGATTCTGGCTGCTGGCCACCCCGTCTGTCAGAGTTGAACTGCTTCTTAGGGTTTTCAAGGCTCTGATTTTTTGGCCACTGATCGCCAGGCCTTTCTTCCTGTGACCCTCCAACCAGTTGTCCCTTGACTAACACTAACTTCGCATTGAAAAGCTCTGGTGGCGTTGTGGTTATGCGTTTGGCGGCTAGCCTCAAGAACAGCAGTTCTCGGGAGACAGGGCTTTCTACTTCTTTAGAGTGACAGCCTTGGAAGGCCACAGAGGGCAATTCTTCTCCGCCCCGTTGGCTCACCCTGAGTCGGAATTGATTAGGCAGCGAATCTAGCGTCAGCATAGTGGTTGCACATTGAGCTTGCTAATCTCTAGGCCAGCAGTTCAAACACCACCTGCTCCTTGGGAGAGGGATGAGACTTCATACACCCATGGAAAGTTAACAGTCTTTTCTGGCAGGGGAGATATCATGATCACGAAGGTGGTTTTCCCAGGTCGAGGCTTATCCATTGCACTCCGGATGTGCTGACCCCTGCGGTTTCCCCAAATGTGGGGAACTCAACTGCAGGATTTGTGGTAGTGGGGGACTGCGTTCACGCTTTCCCCTTTTAAAAGGAAAAAAGAAAAGAAAAGTGAACAGTCTTGGAAACCCACATAGAGCAGGCATTCGAGTCCCGTCTCCCCCTCCCTCCTTCATCACTGTGAGTTGGAACAAGCTCTGCTTGCTTTGGGTTTTGTTCCTTTAGTGTGGCATTTAACTGTCACACACACACACACAGAGTATGTTTATTTAAACATGGTTCCCGTTGTGAAATAGAGTTGCTTCGGACTTGTGTTAGTCCGGGTTGACTAGAGAAACAAATTCATAGACACTCGTGTATAAGAACGAGCTTTATCTACAAGAGCAGTTGAATATTGAGAAAACATCCCAGCCCAGATCAAGTCCATAAGTCTGACATTAGCCCATATGTCTGATACCAAATCTATAAAGTCCTTTTCAGGTTCACAAAAGATGGTGACACCAAATGCAGGAAGATCACAGGTCAGTAGGTGGGGAGTCTTGTGGATCCAGTGGCATTGTAAGCATCTCAGTGCTGGTAGAGGTCTCCACGTGCCTCCTCCAGCTCCAGAGGTCTGGCTCCATCAGCCTCTCTCAATGTGTCTTCTCCACAGGGATGTCTCACAGGGAGTGAGCAGAGAATGTCTCTGGACTCCAAGGAGGAATCCTCAGAAGACCATGCCCACACAGAGGCCTCATTGGCTATATGCTGATTGACAAGCTAGACTCCACCCCTACACTCTTAATCAGATGTTTGTTCTACAAAGCATGTCCATTGATTAAAAACAAAAACAACACCGCCCCAAACATTCCATTTATTGAAACAGGAGGTTTATTCTGAGTTCTGTGTGCATATAGGAAAACCAGATTCTCTCTGAAACTCACTACCACTGTGTCGATGGCGACATACACTGACCCCACAGGGCAGGGTAGGGCCTTGGTGGCATGGTGGTTAGGTGTTAGGCTGTGACTCGAATGGTCGGCAGTTTGAAACCAGCTCCTCAGGAGAAAGGCAGAACTTTTTCCTCCTGTAAATAGTCTTAGAAACGCACAGGGAGGTCACTATGAGTCATTATCGAGTTTGTTTTGGTTTTGGTATAGGACAGGGTAGAACTAACCCTGTGGGTTACAGAGCCTAATTCTTTGAGGAGAAAGTCCTGTCTTTCTCCCAAAGATCGGCTGGTGGTTTCAAACAGCTGACCTTTCGGTTCACATCCCAACAAGTAAGCACTACACCACCAGGGGAGGGCTCATGCCAAGTTACAATGAGGCTTATAAAAAGAGAAGATCCACGATGGTTAATCTTAATGCACTGCAGTCCTGCCTAGTAGCAACATCACAAAATATCAGGTTACAAGGTGGACTCTGACCTTCCCCTTCCCCACCTGCAGCCAGACCTTTTGAAATTCAAATGTGATAAACAGGGCTTCACACCGGAAAGAAAAGATTAGCATCTCTGAGTGGAGGAAAAGCCGCTGGCTGGATTACTGCTGGTCAGGAATTTCTTTATGGAATTTTTGGTTTTGTGGGTAAGAAAGCCTTAAAATTAAAGTAAGATGTCTGTTATTAGTTATTCTCTCTGACATCAACAAAGTTAAAAAAAATTCATATCTTGTCTTTTTCTCAAGGATGGGCTGGTACATTTGAGCCTCCACCGACCTTCCCTTGACAGCCTTGTTCTTAATCTCTGCACCACCAGACTCCTTCCCAAGAATCTTAAAGCATCCCCTTTCACTCAGTTTCAGATGAACTGTATACAATTGAATTCTCCAGAGGCTGAGAGCTCTAAGATACGGCAAGTGACCAAAGGCAGAAAGGTTAAACTCAGCTCCCCTCTATTAGGCCAAGGAGCCTTTGTGGGTTATGATTTGGACTGTTAACTTCAAGGTCAGCGGTTCCAATAGGGAGAAAGATGAGGGAAAAAGAATGACAATTTTGGACCCCATTGGGACAGTCCCACTGTGTGCTAGAGGGTCACTGTGAGTCATAATTGATGGTAGGTGGGTTTGGGGTGGTTAAAAAAGTTCTGAGCCGAAGAAGTTTGAGAACCACTGGTTTACATAATCAAATGTATCAAAAATATCTGTTAAAAGTACATTTGTATCTGAAAGGGGGAAGGAGACGGTTATTTAATACCTAGCCATATTTGGGAAAAATAAATTTCCATAGATTTCTCTCTCCAGCTCTCAAGCTCCCTTCCGCCGGAGGAAGGGGGGCAGAGAGAGGGAGAAATTACTGACTGTGCCAGTTTAGCCGTCTTGCATCAATAGCCCTTTGTTTTATCAGGAACATTAATGAGAGTTTGGCTTTGCAAAGGTAAGCCTGGGGCAGAAGAGCAGTTAAATGGCTCTGCATTGTAAAGAGTGAATTAGGAGAAAGGGGAGGAAAGAAAAGGGTGCTGGAGGAGATGCTGCTCCCCCCTAGAGTTGGGAAAGTAGGATGTGGGAGGGTCTTTTGAGAGGGAACCTGAGCTGCCAGTCTGAGCGCTTGGTTTGGGGAGGAGGGTGGGGGCTCAATTTAAGAGTCTGATGTGGATCTGGTGGAGAGGGGGCCCAAGAAGGACCCAAAGCTGTAAACCATGGCCAAGGCGCCCATCCTGACCAACTCTGGCGACCCCCATCTCTGGTTTCAGAGATTTGAACCGCTGACCTTGCAGTTAGCAGCCGGTTAGGTCTCTGTGGCAGTTTGACTCTGTTCTTGCTTCTCAGCGCTGAAAGAATTCATGCGGCAGAAGCACTTTTGTAAATCCAAGTTACTTTTATGAGGGAAAGGGAAGAAGTTTCAGGTATTTCAGTCTCAAATAGTACATGCTATTTCTGGGAAGCGTTCAACGGCGCACAGAGACCTCGAGACAGAAGATGGCCACTTCAGGAGAGATTCCCACCCTCCGCTTGCAGAGCACACCTGATCAAGGGAGATGATGACCTTCCTACAGCCTGCTTTCCCTCCTCTCCCTACTGGCCGGGGAGGCGTGGTTAAGGGTATTGGCGGCCTTTCTTGGCTGAGTTTAGATACACATGTGCTAGTGCCTAGTCTGTCACCCCAGGTGAACCTCACACCTGGGGCTAGGTGACTTGGGTCTGAGCATGCGCTGTTCTGGATTGTCCTATCGGTGTATTTGTGTGTCTGATTTCTTTGCAAATTGTGGCCTGTGGCCCTGCCAGCGGATTGGGAGACAACCCCGTTATCCCTAATCCATCAACCTGTCAAGCCTGCACCAACTCACAGTGCCACCAGGACTCTCTACTCCTGACCCTTGAGGAGAGAGGCGCACTCACTGCCACTGAGTTGATGCCAACTCATAGCGACCCTATAGAAAAGGGGAGACCTACTGTGGGTTTCTGAGGCTGTAGCTCCTGAAAGCTCGTCTTTCTCCCACGGAGCTGCCGGTGATTGCTAACTGCCAACCTTACTGCCCCAGACCCAGTGCATAACCACTACGCCACCAGGCCTGCTGATCCTGCTAGGTTTCTGGGATGGTGCCACCCCCCCCTTTCTTGCTTCTCAGCACTGAAAGAATGCACGCCGCAGAAGCACTTTTGTAAACCGAAGTAACTTTTATGACAGAAAGGGAAGTTGGGGGCAGTCCGGTCTCAGACAGGGCACACTGCCTGGAAAGCGTGCGAGGCTGCATGGCGGGAGCCGTGCGAAAGTTCGAGACTAAACATGGCCACTTCAGGGGAGCACGAAAAACCCACATGGAAAATGGCCTTTAGGAGGAGTCCACAGAACCAAAGGAGTGTCGGAAGCGAAAAAGGAAGACAAGCTGGGGATAGAAAGCGTGCGGGCCGGAAATG